TGCACGAAAAGATAACTTTTCTATTAATAAAAGTAATGAATTAAACTTACCACATTTAAAGGCATTAACATATATACGGTGACAATAATAAACCCTACAATTGTAGGTTGGGTGTCTACAAACCCAAAAGCATAGAACATAGGTTTATAATTCATGAGTTTTCCATATAGAAAAATATTTATTAATAAGCACAGCTGTAAAAATATAGTTTTATAAATTAGAAAATATCTAATATAATAAAGTAATACATGAATTAAAAATGTACCTGGCCAATGATAAATCCCTTTAATACATGATTATATTTCCAGTGTCCTAGTTCATGAGCTAATACTGCTACTATTTCATCTGTTTCACATCCTTGTAGTTCTGTTTCACCTTCTGCTGGTTTATAATACTCCTTCACCAGAGTGTCAAATAAAACAATTCTCTTATATTTATGGAATCCATACATATATGCATTACTGTGTGAAGATCTCTTTGAGTTGTCAACAATAAATAGTTTATAAAGAGGAAAATTGATAGATGCTGCTAATGCCTCAATTTTTGTTTTCAACTCTCCATCTGGGAGAGGTGTATATTTATTAAAGAGAGGTGCTATCACTTCAGGGTAAATAACCATCAAGAAAAGAGAAGCAGCAATTATGAAGATCCAAAGACAGATTGAAAAGTAATCTCCTCCATTCTTTATGATCCATGTTACAGCACAAAGAAATGGTACAGTAAGTACTTCACATACAATCAATTTAAGAATTTGATCTTTGATAAAAAGCAATGGTGTCTAAAATTAATAGTATAAAGTTAGTGAAATAAAAAATGCAATTATAACATAACAAATAAAATTCCTGTTTCCTTACCTGTTTATTAAACCCATAATTTTCTTCCACAACAAAGGTAGAATAAACTTTTAATGGGAAATAGATCACTTCATAAATAATATTTATAATGAACATAAAAATACCACTCAATAGAATTTCATTTGTATCATCAAAGCCAAAATATTGGGCTAAATTAATACTCCACAACCAAAAATGATGGTAGTATAAACCTAGCAGGAAGACCTATGAATATACAAATGTTTACAATAATATGTAATGTTTGCAACTATCTCAAAAAGATAATTTCGATATATTATAATTGCATTTATTATTTATTTATAACAAAATTAAATTTACACTAATTTTGTGCTATATAGAATGGTAGTTCAAATACTAATTATATCAGTTTATGATATAGACATCTTAGATAATCAAAATATATTGATGAATTCATTTTTTTATGTTCCTGAATTTATTTCTAGGATAATAAAGTCTCAATAATTCATGAGTAAACTTTGAAATACTTTTTCATTAAACTACCAAAATTAACTCAAATATTATAAGGATCAACTTGTAGCTTATTCTTTATGTATTGAGCTATAAATAAATATAAATTTCATACCGTAGAACAAAGTTTAGAATATATATTCCCAAAATTACTGAAGTTTAATTTGTCTAAATCATATTTGCGTGCTTTGTCATAAACTTCTTTTGTCATTACACATTCAACAGATTTAGGTAATTCGACTAAACGCATTATCAAAGCTCTCTAAAAAACAAACATTTTTATTATTCTATGTACGATATAAAATTTTTTATAAAATATTTCA